CTAATGTGCTAGGGAAAAGACGTCAGCAAATATTACAAACACCCCAGAGGATCAGAGGCAGGACAAGGGAGGAAAGACCTGGAAGGAATTAGACAAAAAAAGAGGGCGAGAGCCTGCACTTGGGAAATTCACGGAGGAATGGCACTGTCTTTTTTCTTGTTTCAAAAAGGGCAATACTGCTGAAGCAGATTCAGCTGCACTAAGAACATGTGCAAAGGGTCTGGCATTCTTCCTCTCCTGTCCAATTTTGCAGTATTAAGTGCTGAGGGAAACCAAGATTGCAGGGAACAAGTCCTGCTTGTGCAGTGCTCCTCTGAGATGGACAGAGCAGTGTGGACTAAGCATCTGCAATCCATCTTCATCATCACCCCAGCACCAAGCTGTCAGTCACACCAGGGACAGCTCCTGGGCACACAGCAGCACATGCAGGTCACAAACCAGATTGTCCCATTTAGGCAATGAAAGCTTAAGCATTCTCACAGCCTGAAGCCCTTGGCTTTCCCAGCCTTCCCTTCCCTCCAACCCCTCCAAACACAGCAACAGAGCCCCACTCAGCAGCAGATGCAGGGGAAGCAGAGCCAGTCTGGAGCTGCTGGACTCCCAGCACAGTGTGGCCATGCCAGCCAGCTCTAGCTGTGCTGAAGCCAGAGCAGCATCTAGGTCAGGCTCAGAAGAAAACAAAAAGCAGACAATCAGCTCTCAGCTAGGACTGGGGGATGCTGACACAGTAACCCTATCAAAACAGCTCAGCTCCAGTGCAGCCCCCCTCCTTTCCTGTGCCACAAGAGAGCTTCCTATGGAAAAACAGAGCAAAAAAATACAAGGAGCAACTTTCAGATGGTGCCTGAAGTGCAGCACCTGAAGCTGGCACCTGTCCACAGGTTTTTAGACCTGTCAGCTGGCCCTGCCTCCAGCACCTGCACCCTCTTTCGTCCCCGAAACCCCTGTTCACAGCTGGAGGTGTCTCCCTCTGGCACTGGTTATGCATAAATACAGCAATGATTCTTTTCAGCTACACAGGCTGCCAGAGCCCTGCAAAACCCCATTGCAAAATAAACAACAGTAGGGGTACAAAAGGATTTTCCAGGGACAGAATCTTCTCCATGAAAACCATCACAAGGTGTGACAGGCACAGTCTCGCCAGACTGCCCTAGCTACAAGTGCCACACATGATGACCTCCACTGCAGGGGACCTGGAAAGGCTTCAGCCCTCTGACTTATGAGATAACCAGCTCCTCAAGCTGTTCCTAACCCCAGCACTTATCACTGACTGACTCAGAGTGGAGTCAAACCCTGACTTAAATCAGTATTCAGTATTATTAATAGAGGCATGCACAAAACCTGGCAGGTGGAAGAACTCAGGCCAGTAGGAGCATCACTTATCTGTCAGCATCACCACTGACAAAGCGGCTCTACCCACCTGCCTCCCACCAGCCCTGCTCCCAGCAAAGCCCATCTTTCCTTCACTTTGTACCCCACAGACTTTCCTGGAAAGGACTGACACAGGAATGCTCTATGCTGCTGAACCTCTGTGTTTTTTTCTGATCCCACACCATGCTTATTCCCTGTTCAGGGACCGTGTTGCTGCCCCCCACCAACAGCTCAGAGCCCCACTGCAGTCCACAGCTGCACCTTCAGAGGACACTGCTCAGATGGCAAAGCCTGCAGAGATCAGGAAAGGCAGAGGCAGGCTGGGGGAGGGGAGATGAAGCATCCTAGAGGGCATCTCTGCTTCCCCCCAGGCACTGGAGACTAAATCCCAAGCAGCTTGGCAAGGATGAGCAGCCTCCCGGCACAGCCACACCTCACCCAGCCTGCGCCGGGTGCCCCCCACCCTGGCACTGCCCACCCTTCCCGGGCAAGTGTGCGCCTCATTGTTGGTGCAAACAAAGGAGCGGTTTGTGTCTGATGAAAAGAAAGGGAGTCAGAGGAAAAATCATCCAGCAGCCCTAGATGTATGCAGATTAAGCTGCAGAAGGTTGCATGAATGTAGCATTTTCCAGACATCAGCTAATCCCCTGGCTGTGCTCTGTCTCCATCTCCCTGGAAGAGGTGGGCTGTGTCTCACCTGCAGCCACAAAGGCAACCAGCACCCAGTGACAAACCTGACATCCCTGACCTGACGTCTCCTGTGAGGCCAGGCAACCTACTGGGGAGGGATGGGTGTGAAAAGTTTTCAGAAATGGTTTAGTGGTGTGCTTGGCAGGGCTGCACTAACTATTGGACATGATGATCTGAGAGGTCTTTTCCAACCTAAATGATTCCACGATTCAATGTGCCCACCAGCACGCCCATGAGTATTGCTTTGGCAAGGATCTCAGTCTATTCTTATACAGGAAAAATGAGGACACTCTGGGATTCCCACTAACTGTCTGAGGACCAAGCTATGGATGTCTGTTGGATGTCTGGCTACAGGGTAAGTGGAAGAGTGATGCACCTGCTGTTTGCCCTTCAGGGATGCATCCTCTGCTGCCCTGCCCCCATCACCTTCAAGGTGACTAAGGGAAGGTTTTTGCCCAGCTGCCTTCCTGGGTGTGCCCACTGAGGTGCCCTTTTTAGTCTCTGTGATGAACCCCAGGTCACACATCAGGTCACACATTCAGAGCTCATCCCAGCAGCAGTGTGATGCCAGCAGGCCTTCGTTTACCGTGGCCATTCCCTGGATCCCAAACTTCAGCAATCAGCCTCACTCCTGCTGCCCTGTAGATATTTTGAAAGACCTTGAACTTCAGCAGAAGCAAAGGGGTTGGATTCCTGGTTTAGAAAGGTTATCAGTGGGCCATCCATGCACTGAAGGCTTTTCCCAACCGTAATAGCCAATAATTTCCAGCACCTGGCAAAAGTTCCTTCCTTCCCTGCCTGATGGAGACACTGAAAATGGGCTTCACATTGATGCAGCTGGTTCAGTAGCCAGGACCAGACCCGTGGGCTCGCCCTGCCCAGCGCTGCAGCTGGCGACCGAGAGGACGCCAGTCAGAAACACACACAACCCCTCCCTTCTGCTCCCATTCCTGCCATATCATTTTCCCTGCCGGGCTGCCCCGGCGGCTCCCCCTCCAGCCCCACGTCCCGGAGCCCAGCAGCGGCAGGGCGGGCAGGCACCGGGGCCCGGCACCGCCGAGCAGGTGCCCCCCGCTCCCCGAGCCGCATCCGCCGCAGCACCGCGGCAGCATCAGCATCCCGCCGCCGAGCCCCCCGCCCCGCCCCGCCACGGCCACCGGCGGGCCGGCGGCGTTCGCTCACCTTCTCCACGTTCTCCACGGTGAAGTCGAGGCCCTGCGGCGGCGGCGCCTCCGCCCTCCGCTCCATGGCTGCGGCGGCGCTCAGGAGGCGGCGGCGGGCGGGCGACAGCGGCGGCGCACGGGCAGCCGCATCGCGGCGGGACCCGCCTCCCCGCCCCGCCGGGGGCGGCGGCACCGGGGCGGCGCGGCTCGGCGCGGCGGTCGGGCCGGGAGGCGCCCGCGGGACTCCCCGAGCAGCCCCAGCGCCCCGCTCCGCTTCTCCCCGGCCCCGCCTCGCCTCTCCCGCGGTCCCGCAGGCGCGGCCGGGCAGCCCAGGACCTGCCGCAGCGCCGCGCCGCACGCCGGGAGCGGTAGTCCCGGCCCGCGCGCGTCCCCTGCCGGGCACCGGCACCGGCACCG